TGCTTTGAATTGGCATTCCTCAATCTTGGCGCGCAGTGAGACCACATGAACTTGGAGATCGCCACACTTTGCTTCGACCTCCTGCTACCTCAAGCTATTTTTCTTTATTCCTTAGCGTACCCTCAAGAACGCTGCATTTTTCGGTGACCCGCACCAGCTGGTCATCTTTCTCCTTTAGTTCATCTCGAAGATCTTGGAAATTTCCATTCTCGCCAAGCCGCCTACAAATTTCTCCAGTGCTTATCGCCGTACTCGTGGTACTTTCGCTTCAACTTCATAAAATAGCCTTGCGCCTCTCCTTTCTTCGAGCGCTTTCAATTTCCAAAATTATGATCTGCAATCACAAAAAGAGAAATTCAAACACAAGAACCTCTTTGCTGACAAAGGCGAAGCACTGAGACAGATAAAAAATCTGAATAAAGCAAGTAAGAAAAAGAAGCCTTAAAAAAATTTACCCTGAGAGCGAGGTCGGCTATGCTCCTCGATAAGGGGATATCATCCAACTTCGCAAGGGTTACACCCTCCACGTCGGAACAAAGGGGACCAAGAGCAAGGACCATGTTCTCTATGTTTTTCAGTAGATCACGGTCCATTGGTACCGCGATGGTCCGCATAGACCCCTCCAATCTTACCTCAAGCTGGGTGAACCCCTCATCCATCGTCCTCATTTCATCGGCATCGAGATCAGAACCCGTCTCATAGTAATCCTCGGTAATGTCTTTGTCTTTCCTATCAGCCAATGAAGGAGCATCGTCAGCCGGCCGCAAAGTTGACGGCCCATCATACTGCAAATTATCAGAAGCCACAACGGTCGACCCTTTAGCTCTTACCATAGAAAAGGAAGAGGTATTCCCTCTACGGCTTCTACCAATGTCGGGATGTTGAACACCCACTCGACATCATCCTCGAGTAATATGGTCACTATTTTGTAGATGGCAAAATTGTCCATTATCGAATTTACAGCTCGAGCAACTCCATCACCAACGTCCATCAACCTTCTTTTACGAGGCACCAAATTCCTATCGCTCGGTGGAGATTCCACTTCCTCGTCTACCAGATAGTATAAAGGGGAAGCCGAAAGCCCTGCTGTTAAGATATTTTCAAGCGGAGAAGAAGCCGATGCCGAGTCAGCAGTAGCCGGGGCCGAAGACCAAACATACCTAGCTACAATCGAGCATGGAATAGAAATAGAAGAGCGAGTAGGTTTAACCTCAATTACAGAAGGAATAGATGCCGAAGAGGAGGCAACTTTCCTCTTGTAGAATGAAGGGGGAAGCTCTTGGCCTCCTCGAAAGTCCCCGGCCTGAAGAAGAAAGAACCAAAAAAGGTTATAACCATCGGCGGAAGCAAACTAAAGAAATAAATGACTAAAAGGCTAAAGAACAAAAGAAAAGGAACTAGCTCATCGGTCAAGGAAGGAGCAGGCCCAAATTTCTTGAGAAATCTTGGCCACTCGCGAATTTCCACGGTGCGAGGGAGAACTCGACCAACCCAATTAGAAATATCCCTAACCAAAGGATGAGGCATAGTCTTGCCTGCATAATAAGGGAACCTGAGTTCAAGATCTACGACCAAAACAAGAAAATTGAATGTTTTAACGAAGAAAGGATTAAACGCTTACGAGTGTAATTCCAGGTCTCGGGAAAGCCGTTCGCGTTCGCCACCACATCTTTGGTTCTGACAAAGAAGAAATTGTGCGAAAACTGGCGGTTTGCCTTGTCGTCCATCTTCACCACCAGGCATTTTCCCCCTCGATGGCGAAGATTTAACATCGTCCCCCTATAGAAACTAGGGGCGAAAAGATGCATCAGATGCCAAAATGTGACCTCGACCCCGGCCAGTTCTGCATATTCAGTAAACATCCTAACAAGCTTGTAGATATATGGAGAAAGCTGAGCCGGGAAAACCCCATAGTAATGGCAGGACTCCTCCGCTAGTGGGAGAAAGGGAAGAGTGTAGCCAACACAAAAAGTGTAAGCATAGAATACAAAATACCCAGGACGGTGGGCTTGCACCACATCCTGCTCTGCAGGAATCGGACTAACATGAGCGAGAATGTTGAATTTAACCCTAAGCTCTAATAGATTGGCCTCTTTCAACACCGACTTTGAAACCTCGAGCTCATCTTTAGGCACTTTCGAGAAGTCAAAACTAACTTTCTCACCACGAGGAACTATCTCCTCCACTGTAGGGAAGTTCTCCTCCTCAATAGCAGCCGAAACGGCATGAGGAGGCATAATCACCGCCAAAGGCACAGGGTTTCTTCCCTCACCAGGACCAGAAAACACATTGGCCATAGTTCCAACAAAATAGAGGATATTTAAGTGCAAGAGGGTTGGAAGCAATTGGGATCACCGGAACCAGGAGAATAGACGTACAATAGTGAAGTAAGGAGAAGAAGACACAGGGATTTGATATGAAGAATATGCAAAACATGAATGAATGTCCTCATATCCCTATTTACACGAATCCAAGCGTCAGAACCGAGAAATCCGACCATCATTGCCTAGTGCTGGAATCGAAACGGCAGATGCAGGGAAAACGACGCAAAACATCAAGAAAACACGCCATAATGATGCGTGATGTCATGACGTTATTCTGAAATAGAAACGATGTGACCGCAAAGGTCGGGGCTCACGAAAGGTCACTTCGTCATCTCGTCTAAAATGTCACTACTCGCCTTGCTCGTCCAATTTTGTCAACCACGATAAACAAAATCCGCTCATCAAGGTTGTCTGGGTCCGGACTTAATAAGCGGAGGGACTAACTGTATAGGTTGAAATATGTTTCAGTATTTAGGGAAAAATAACATCGAGAAAAGAGTCAGTTGAGGTCGACTAGGAGATAGCAAGGCTCGTGGTCGAGATGCAAACGATGGTCGATGTCGAGCACCGCAAAAAAAGCTGTAACGGCTAGTTTATTAGAATAGGATATTAACGAGAATATTCCATTAAATATTCTCTGCACTTGTACTACTAGGGCTTGTTGGGTTACGCCCCAGAAAAAAGTGAATGAATAGAGGTAGGTGATTCATTGTGATAACATCAGACTTTGCTAAAAGATTCTCTCTCTTATTAAGATACAAAGATTATCTTTTTATCAAGATTCTTGCTCATATTATTCCATACTTTTCCATCAGATCCGAGAATATTTCGAATGTTCTAAGATCTGTCTGTTACTCATTTTTGTCAGGAAGAATAATCACCTAGTTCATTGTTTATTGGGTGAACCAATTCTCATATTTACTTAAATATCATTTATTGTTATTTATTGCTAGTTACTTCTCCATTATTACATATATCTTTCGAAATACATATTGAATACTACTGTTGATTCTCTACTAAATTTGTCTAAACGTTAGCCATTTTGTCAAAATCACATCTAGAGATATTATCATTAACCAGATTTAACCCGTTATTGTATAAATATAATCGTTTTAACCAGAAGTTGCTCTTCTTGGTCAAAAAAGTACAAACTTATAAGTGGTAATACCGATTCATTAAAGTTTGATATGCTAAGAAAAATATTTCGGGCTGAGGTCACTGCTGAAACTGAGTTGCCACATAGTTTAGATTCTTGAAATGACTTGTGTAGAATATTATTAGTCGTACTTGGACATCAGATGAATGGAGTATTATTTATGTCCTAAAATAAAAATAAAGAGAACTAGACACGTTTATTTCGTCCTGTCTAAAATATTGTTACTATAACTTTGGTGGTTAAAATTGACCTTCTTGATACTCGAAAATTGTAAGCTGACACAAATTTTCAAAATTGTGGCTAAAGCAAAATGAGTAAAACAAGCAAAAGATTGAGGTGGGAAATAGAGGACACCACATCTGGGAAGGGAGACAACTCGATATTTTCAACTCCTGCACTCTACGCCTGACAGACAGGCCACCAATTCCCATTTTTTCTACGGGAACTTTCAGAAACTACTAATTTAGCATATATTAATTTTTTATAGCTATCATATACATAATTATTTTCTATAACTACTATTTAGTTGTTATGCGGCTGTATTCGTTGTATTCGTGAATACAATAGCGGAATTCGCCTAAAAATAGGGGAGTTCAGCTGTGCGACTGTATTCGTTGTATTTGTACTACTGTATTCATGAATACAGTAGCGGATTTGAGTTGTTTAATAACGGAAAGAGAATTAATTTTCCTTTTTGTCTACGAGACCAATGCAACATGCCCATGTCTGATCCTAAAGCTTTTCTCTAATTGTTACACTTTTATTTACGCTTCTTTACTCGATCAAGCCAACAACCTCCTCCGTGGAAACTAGCTAATTAAAAGATTATTTCATTGTCATTAAACGAAACTTTTAAGGAACTAACAATAGCACGGAAGATGAACCATGTATTCATGGATTTAAGACTGCTTTGATCCCTAAGTAGCAAAGGCGCTTCTCTTTTCCCCTCAACTTTGTAGAAGGACAGGAAAGAAATTATTGGTCTCTTGCTCCTGCCTGTCCCCAATACGTGCATCATTAGAAGGTCGGATGCTTTAACATAGGTGCTTCTCTTTTCCCCTTAACTTTGTAGGAGGACAGGAAAGAAATTATTGGTCTCTTGCTCCTGTCTTCCCCAATACGTGCATCATTAGAAGGTCGGATGCTTTAACATAGGTGAATGTGGAACACAAAAAGAATAGATCCGAACCACTGCTTCTTCAGTTCTTATAATCATGAGTAGATCTGTTTTCCTCCTTTTTGTCAACAAAATTACTAAATTGGTCACTAACTGAAACAAACAAACAATTTTCCCCTTCTATTTTCTTTTCCTTTACCTTCCTTTTTGTTCAAAACTGTAGGAAGTAGTAACTTCTTTTCTTAAGTGAACATAGTTAACAATGGAGATGAATACTCAACTGAACAACAAGGGCCAAGAGATCACAAAATCTAAAATTATCACATTTTGAATTATAATCTCTTGATTGCAATGGATATTAACAAAAATCGCTCTCATTTCACTTACACACTCTACTCGAATATCGTATATCTTCTTTTAGTATACACTAGAACATAGATATTTCCAGAGTGTAACAAAAAAAAGGTCAAATTGGCTTGTGACTAAAGTCTTTGCCTTTTTTTAACAAGATTACTAATATTTCATCGATGTAATAGGAACATCACAAAAAGAATTTCTTAAGAAATGGCATATGATTCCTTAAGCATTGATAAATCAGACACATAAGAAAAATTTCTAAGACACAGTACTTCATTCACACTAAGACACCTTTTTCTCCCGTGACGCCCTACAGCACAATGGCCTGAAATATGCATGACGATCTGTGTATATTGTTCCAATCGCGGAACTGAATGTGAAGCTTATGTTGATTATATATTGCATCCCTTGAGTTTCCTATGGATACTTGCTGCTTTTAGCAGGTTGAGGAGGTGTTTAGTAGGGAATGTATCCGAGCTATTGCAAGAAGGACTAATTCCAAATGAGTAAGTGTGACTTAGATGCTGGTGGTCCGTCTGTCTCAATCGCATTATGGCATGCTGTCAAGTGAACTATCATCGATAACAGGAGATAAAAAATGGCCGGCCATACATCTTCAATGAAGCTTTGTTTCTTCCTTTATCTACCCAAGCACAGTCTCGTTATACACAAGATTAGGTCAGGTTATACACGACATGTCTGCACGAATCAATGTCATGAGTTAATAAATAACCTCATTCCCCAAGATAAATGCCTATTACTATGCATTTGGGAAAGCCTTCAGAGTGCAGAAGTTATCCATCAAAGTGGACTGCAGCGATATCTCGTACGCACCTCACCATTCTTATTTTAACACTAGAAAGAAAACCAGAAACCAGTCTCCAGCTATATTCATGTACATGTGGAAGACATTACTCAAGGATAAATAGGAAAGAAATTGCTGGAGCTAGAAAAGCTTTGCTGTAAGAAGAAATATGCGTATTCAGTAAGAACCAGGGTCTAAAAAGACAAGCTACAGAAAAAGTAATACATCTATCAAAATTCCAAAGTCATTAGATAAAAAGGAAGCTGACACCCCAACTCGTATAACTTGATAAAATCCAGATCATCTATGGTTAAATGTCATATAAAACTTTCAAACAATCCAATGAATAAATAAGATCTTACTTACAGTTATAGCCAATGGAAACAAATAATTTAACACTCTATGATTTCTTGAAAAGATACCCCATTACATCTTTCTTCAGTGTGTCGCCTTCATTAATTTCTTTCAAAAATTCAAAATAATTAGAATGCCAGCACCCAGGCCACAGAATAAAACCTTTCTCTCCATCTCCACATTCTTCCAATTCCTATACCAAGTTAAAGGTCAATCATAAAGGATGCAAATTTATTAGCAATTTAAGTTCCCCGGCCCCCTCTGTGGTAGTAATTATGACCGAAAAATTAAAAGAAAGAAAGAAAACAAACCCTGTAAAAAATATTCAACACCAGCATTATATTTCTTACTACAAGCCAAATAGCGTCACAACAGATAACAAATCTGTAAACAACATTCAACACCAGCAGGTTTTAGTCTAATCATACTTGCAGCATTATATCTTACTACAGGGCCAATAGCGTCATAACAGACAACATAGGATGTAACAGAATGAACAGAGCAGTAGCCAGTAGGATTCAACAAGTATAAGATTTATACTATCTTGAAAGATAAAACTACAAAGGTGACTTTCAGAAGTCTTAAAGGTAGATTCCTTCCCCTCAGCAGGGACAAAATTCAAGGACTTCAATATTAATAGAACTAATGTGCTAACATTGAAGGATTTCAACAGAATGATGACACTAACATTCAACAATGTTAAGTTGCAATGGGCAGTTCCTTTTCCAAAAGAAAATATTTTCATGCAAACTGTAATCTAACATTCAATTTGTTGAGTTGCAATAGATGGTTCCGTTAGCCAAAAAAATAAAAAGAATCTTATATTCACACAAAGAACGTTAAAATGGGACTAATATAGTAAAAGCAAACAAAACTTCCATGTCATCTAATCTTCACAAGGAGAAAGAGTAAAAAATGGTTGAAAGATTGCAATTGCTGAAAAGAAAATAAGTTGATGTGTCCTTGTTTATCTCAATTGCTTGAATGTCCATACTTTATTCTTGAGCATATCCACAGGCCATTGCCGAGTTGGACCAGTCCTTAAATACATGCTCCTTATGGTGTTTAAAAAGAAATCAGAATAGTATAACTCCACCTAACCTCAATGTGAGATATGTTTTCCTGTTATGGTTGCATGCTTTTATACCTGGTGAAGCTTGAACAACAATCTAGAAGTCGGGCTGCATAGGCATATCTCAATATCTAGAATAGTGCATTAAATGTGTAATTTACTGACTGGATGTTGAATTATTTAGTTTCTAAAGATGACATGAAACCTCAAATAATGTATAACTATTATAAAGTCATTGCATTGATCAAAGCTGAAAATCTTTTTCAGCAGAGAACAGAATGGAAAGATCCAGAAGAAACTAAGCTGACCTCAAGCTACTCCAAAATTTTGAAGCCAGTCACAGTGAGGTGTTGGGTAGTTCCTGTTCCATTGTCGCCTCTGGAGTTCTATATCACAGTAACGTTCAAGCCTATTTTTGTAATCTTTAATAACATGGTCTTCAACTTTCTCTCGAGCAGGACTACCAAGAGGATAATTCTTATCAAATTCTGCCGATTTAACGAAAAATTCTACCCCATATTTATCTGTCACCTTCTCAAACTGATAAGAGTAGTTTTTCTGCAAAGAATATTCAGGCTCCGAGAAAGGAAGATAAGCAAGTAAGAAAATGATAAAAAATGGTAACAATTGAAGGAGGAGAATTAAGTTAGACCCAGAGGAACCTAAATCCTCTCTCGGCTGACGGACATTGGTCCTTGTCCTGTAGACATAAGCTGTCCTAAACATTTCACGCTGACCAAAAAATGCCCTTATAATCTCTTCATCATCAAAATCATTTTCAAAATATTCATGCTACATTTTCCTCCGACGTCTAAGATTATACTGCTGATCAAACTCAAATTCTTCAACCAAACCCGTCTCATCATACCGGCTCCTTGAATCATCATCACTCAAACACTTAAATGCCTTGGATACTTTCTTAAATGCCTCTTCAGAACCAGGAGCCTTGTTTTTGTCCGGATGAACTTTCAACGAAAGCTTCCGCTATGCCTTTCTTATCTCCTCAACTGAACAACCCTTCTCTAGACCAAAAATGGCATAATAGTCCTTCTTGCTCTTAATGTGTAACCAAATGCACGTGTTCTTCAGAATAACTCCTCTCCCCATCAGAAACCTCATCTGACTCGACACGACCATCGACATGTTTCTCACTCGAAACATCGCCAACTTCACTAGGGTGATCAGGAGTTGAGGCATCAAGATTTTCACAAGCAGCCAAAAGATCTTTGACATCTAGTTCACTATTAAGGCGGCGTGCAATTCCAATAAATTTAAGCGCTCTCTGCTTATTGCCCGACACAATTGCCTCCTTGGCAATACCTATGCATCTTAAAGCCTCATCTTTGTTACTATCCATTCTTATCCTTAATCTAAAAGGTGAAAGTTAAGATTCAAAACAAGAACCAATTGCGCTACAATTCATGATGCCATGGACAAACACCAATCCAAGCTCTTGTTTCGCAATTCAATTTCACCTGATCACCAAAATAGTCAACCAATCACTCATTATAAAGTACACAGATAGATAAACGAGGCGCTTTTACACATATTGGTTGTCAACATCACAATAAGAAAAACATTTAGAGGAGAAACTTATATTATCGTTTGTTGCTAGCATTTGGAAGCCAAATTATAAAATTCAAAGATAATTTTAAGCATAAAAGAACCCAAAACTATAGAACACAGAGCCCACTACCTTGTTTAAAATTAAAGCTTGATGAGCGACCAACACCGGTCTGGGTTTACAGTCACCAAGATAGACAACCAATCAGTCAAAATTCTAATACATACTGACGTAAATGAGGCACTTTTATGCATATTATTCGTGAACAATATCAAAAGATTAACATAAAAATCATTTTGAGGATATATTGTAAATAGGTCTGAATTGCCTTGCATTGTATGCTGAATTATATTCAACAGATAACGAAAACCAATCATTAAAGAACAAATACCCTCTGTTTTTGTTTCACAATTCAATTTCACCTGATTACGAAAAACGAAATAAAAAACAAACAAAAAGAAAAACCAGAAATTACGACACTAACACGTAAAGAAGCAAGTGTACGCATATTATTCAGCAATTTTACGTGAAAAGCAATTTGATGATATATTGGGATCATTGATTTGAATTTCTTATTATTGTAAGGAGTAAATCAACCGAATTTCAACAGAATTTTGGTGGAAAAAAAAAAGAATCAACAGAATTTCAAACATAAAAACAAACCAAAAAGTTATTAAAACTAAGAGAGCTTTAACTTTGTTTGGAACCTGAGCAATGGCAGAGAGAGCGCGAGAAAAGGAGAGAAAGGGTCGTGTTGATGAAGAAATGGAGTCTGAGATTCTGAATAAAGCAAAGATCCGTACCATATATATGGTGGTGGTGCGCAAATTTGCGTTCACTGTGGCAACAACTCTTAACGTGCCACATAAACCGAGTACAAATTGTATAGTTAGGGGTCGTTTGGTTGGAATTAGTTATCTCGGAATTAGTTACTTCATCCTCTCATTGGGATAAATAAATACTACAATTTCGGAATAACTAATCCGGATAGTTATACTGCAATTTTATCCCAACCAAACATGGGATAAACTCATTTCAAATTTAATCCCGGAACTAAATTTGAGATAGTTTATCCCACGTTTGGTTGGGATAAAATCATGGTATAACTAATCTCAGGATTAATTATCCCGAAATTATAGTATTTTGGATGGAATAACTAATCCAGCGATAACTAATCATGAAATAACTTATTTCCCAACCAAACGACCCATTAAGCATTTTATTGTTTCTTTATCATCATATATTTATGTATACGGGTGGAACCGAGCTCATGGTACACCCCGGTCTCAGATAAGATAAGCCAAGCTCGAGACATGATGACATGGGATCGAAATCGAGGCAAGGGCCTCGTCGAGTCAGAGTCTAGAGGCTTGACACCCACCATCAGGAATATCGGGGTCATGGTCCAGGATCAGTCCTAGCCCTGAACGACCTCGAAGAACATGGTCGGAAAATCTAGCACGCTCACAGAAGGCCGTAATATCCGTGACCAGCCGTATATCACGGCATGGATCTCAGCACGTATATGAGGAACCGACAATTAGTTAAAAACAGAAGATTTTTTACCTTTTGTGGAATTGTACCTAGAGCGGGATTCCCCTACTATATAAAGATAGGTATGGTAATTCATGAAACACATTGTAACGCGTATTCCAAAGCAATATATTATTATTTTATCTGTTATTAGCTCTTATTATTGTTCATTTGTGCTGGTCATTGTGAGCCCGGATCGAGGGTGAATATTCACTAAGGCTGGAGTTATCCTCCTTGTGTGGTTTGAATTTATTTTATCTTTCTTTTTCATTCTAACTCAATTTTTCGCTTTGTATCAAATTAATTCGTGTATCCTTAAAACCACTTACAAATTTAATTGGTATCCGATTGTGAGGGTAAACAGTTTTGCTCCACTGTGGGGCTAAGGATAATAGTGGCTATTTGATACAAACTTCTATAACACACCCTATTTACACTTGTTCTTTGAAGTATCTTTAGTTTCAGGCCAAAGTTTAAAATGTCGAACTCTCAGTCAGCCGCTACGTGGATGCTGAGTCCGGTCACCACAACGAGAACAACAATGTAGCACCTGGTAACGAGGTGTCCTCTCTCGACCTTAGCGGAGTTTCGGCTGTGGACCCAATTGATGCTAGCTCGCATGTGGTCATCAATGCTAATTTGCCTACCCATCCTAAGAACAATGTCAGCGGGGAGTTCGATCGATTGCTCAGAATGCACATGACGGTGATGGTGATGGGATCAACTTACGGGTAATCTTCGTAATGCTACAAGCTCAACAGGCGACGATATCCAAGCTGCAGAGCCAAAGCCACGCCCCGAGCAGGATTGAGCCCGAGCTATCCCGGGAAGTCATCCGCAAAAATAAACCGGTCATAGAGAGGCCGAATGAAGCTGAACTCAGGACTAACCCCGAGATCATAAAGATGCTCGAGGAGCTGACAAAACGGGTAGAATCGGGAGAAAGAAAAATCGAAGCCAATGACAAAAAGTTGAAAACCTACAATTCTAGGGTCGATCAGATCCCAAGAGCACCGCCGATATTAAAGGGCCTGGATTCCAAGAAGTTCGTTCAAAAACCTTTCCCTCTGAGCGCAGCTCCGAAGCCAATCCCCCTAGAAGTTTCGCATGCCCGAGATTCCTAAGTACAACGGAACAATCGACCCGAATGAGCACGTGACCTCATACACGTACGCCATCAAAGGGAACAACTTGGAGGATGATGAGATCGAGTCTGTCCTGCTAAAAAAGTTCGGGAAAACCTTGTCAAAGGGAGCTATGATATGGTACCACAACCTACCCCTTAATTCTATTAACTCGTTTTCCATACCTGCAGACTCATTCGTGAAAGCACATGCCGGGGCCATCAAGGTCGAGACCAGGAAGTTGGACCTTTTCAAAGTAAAACAAGGAGATAATGAGATGCTTAGAGAGTTTGTATCCCGATTTCAAATGGAACAGATGGACCTGCCTCCAGTTGTGGATGATTGGGCCATTTAGGCCTTCACCCAAGGACTCAATATTTGAAGCTTGTTGGCTTCACAACAGTTGAAGCAAAATATGATAAAATATCCGGCTGTAACTTCGCCAACATACATAACCGGTACCAATCAAAAATTCGGGTTGAAGATGATCAGCTTGGGGTCCCTTCCGGGTCCGTTTATCCCATCAGGACTATTGACAAGGTCAAAAGAGACTTAACAGTGAACCGAGATCAAGCAAGGATCGTTATCAACCATACAACGGGGATCGAAGAGGTAAGAGATCTGCAAAATCCAGTGAAAAGAGAGAGAAAAAGCGATTGAAGTCAAAATAACCGGGGACCGAGGTTATCAGAGTAGAATTTCAATGTCGATGTTGCTGTTATCATATCTGTTGTTGGACGCGTCAAAAACACTAAGTGGCCTCGACCTCTATAGTACGATTAGACCCAAAGGGACCCCAACCTAATGTGTAAATATCATGGCACACATGGTCATAGAACAGAAGATTGCCGACCGTTGAGAGAGGAGGTGGCCCGGTTATTCAACAATGGACATCTCTGATAGTTCCTGAGCGATTGAGCCAAAAACCATTTCAGGAATGGGGATGCTAGTAAGCAGATCGAGTAGGAGGAACCTCAGCATGTCATTAACATGATCATCAGTGGGGTTGACGTCCCTCATGGGACGATGTTAAAGCGCACTAAAGTATCCATCACAAGGGAAAAATGGACTCGAAATTACGTGCCGGAAGGAACCTTGTCTTTCAACAATGAGGACGCCGAAAGAATCGTGCATCCCCACAATGATGCACTGGTAATATCTGTACTTATAAATAAATCTTGATTTAAGCGTGCGCTAATTGATCCAGGTAGCTCGGCCAACATCATCAGATCGAGGGTCGTGGAGCAACTAGGTCTGCAAGACCAAATCGTGCCCGAAGTCCGAGTTCTAAACGGATTCAACATGGCGTGCGAGACGACTAATGGGGAGATAATATTACTAGTGAACACAGCCAGAACCACTCAAGAAAAAAGTTCTACTTGATAGAAGGAGATATGAGGTACAACGCTCTATTCGGGAGGTCGTGGATTCACAATATGAGGGCAGTGCCCTCGGCGCTGCACCAGGTGTTGAAATTCCCCACGCCAAGGGGATTAAAACAATTTACAGAGAATAGCCACCCACAAAGGAGATGTTCGCGGTTGATGAGGTGGTCCCAATATCCACACTTTACATACCAAGGGATCCGAGTTCGGTCGCCAAGAAAGGAACCAAATAGCAATCATCAACATCGGTCCCGACCGAAATGGAGAAGCAGGAGACGAGTGAGGACGGCGACTATGGAGTCCATCCGGGAGTTTAAATACCCGGATTGGTGAGCAAACGCAATAGTAGTCCCTAAAAAGAGAAACAAATTGAGAATGTGTGTAGACTATGAAGACTTAAATAAAGCATGTCCCAAGGACTCTTTCCCTTTGCCTAAAATCGACCACATGATCAATGCAACGGCCTACCACGAGATCCTTAGTTTTCTTGACGCTTATTCAGGGTACAACCAAATTCGGATGTACCCGGGTGATCAGGAAAAAATGTCCTTCATCACTAAGTACGACACCTACTGCTATAATGTAATGCCATTCGGACTAAAAAGCATCGGTGCCACTTACCAACGCCTAGTAAATCGAATGTTCGAAGAACAAATAGGAAAATCAATGGAGGTCTACATTGACGATATGTTAGTTAAGTCCATGCGAGCAGAGGACCATTTGAAGCATTTGCAGGAAACCTTCAACATATTGAAGAAATACAATATGAAGCGGAACCTAGAGAAATGCGCATTCGGGGTCGGATCTGGGAGATTCCTCGGATTCATGGTATCCAACCGGGGAATCGAGATTAACCCCGATAAGATCAAGACCATCGAAGACATTACTATTGTGGACAACGTCAAGGTCATTCAAAGATTAACTGGGCGCATAGCCGCCTTGGGTCGATTCATCTCGAGGTCCTCCGACAAGAGCCATCGGTTCTTCTAACTGTTGAAGAAGAAGAATAATTTCTCGTGGACCCCAGAATGCCAACAGGCCTTGGAGGAAATCAAGCGGTATCTCTCAAGCCCACCTTTGCTTCATACTCTGATGGCACACGAACAACTACACTTGTACTTAGCGGTATCCGAGGTAGCGGTAAGTGGAGTCCTGGTTTGGGAAGAGGAAGGTATGCAATTTCCAATCTATTATGTTAGCATGACTCTAGGCGAGACTGAAACTGGGTATCCTCACCTAGAAAAATTGGCGCTCGCTTTGCTAAGCTCCTCTAGGAAGCTAAAATCGTATTTTCAATGCCACCCTATATGTGTTGTAACTACTTACCCGTTGAGAAAAATAATGCATAAACCCGAGTTATCGGGAGGATTGGCCAAATGGTCGTGGAGATCAGCGGGTACGATATCGAATATCGACCCCGGACCGCTATCAAATCTCAAATTTTGGCATACTTTGCAGCCGACTTTACGCCAGCCCTAATACCGAGGTCGAAAGAGAGTTGTTATTGAACTCGGGGACCTCTTCAGGAATCTGGACCCTCTTTAAGGATGGTGCCTCAAATGCAAAAGGTTCAGGACTAGCATCGTATTGAAGCCACTGACATGTCATATAGTTAGACAATCTATTAGGACTATAAAATTGACTAACAACGAGGCCGAGTATGAGGCCATGATTGCAGGCCTCGAACTGGATAAAAGCTTGGGGGCAGAGGTGATCGAAGCTAAGTGCGACTCCCTCCTTGTGGG